AAACCTAATTAGTTTGGGGTAAAAATCTGTTCATATTAATTCCCTAATTAGCATAATAATTCATATTTTTTTGGTTCTAATCACATTTCAATTAAACTTGGTTCATAGAGTTTTTGTTACATTGCGCAGACCTCATTAGTTTTACACTCAAATCTGTTCATATTAATTTTCTGATTTGCATAATTAGTTTTCAGCTAAGTAATTTCAAATTATATTTAATGTGTCTCCAATACTCTCAGCACATGGGAGTTCTTTCTAAGCTTTCTTTGATTTTTACATTGAAACTTGGCCGATCCCAATATGATTAAAATAAGATCCTAGTTTGGGCTTTTTTTTAGCTCCGCTGTCAACTTTGTCGAGCGGAGCTTATCATATGAGTGATTGTTCATCGGCGTCCATCGTCGTCGTCGTCGTCGTCCGTGTCAATGTTTTACTATTTTGTCTTCTTCTTGAAAACTACAAGCCTGAATGCTTTGATACTTGGTGTGTATGTACCTGGGGTAGACCTCTCTTAGATTTGTTCATTTCATGATGATATCTTCAATTTTCTAATTTTGGTGAATATTTTTGAAATTTTTGGTAAAAAGTGATATTTTCGACTTCTTGTTAAAAACCACAAGTCCAATTGCTTTGATATTACATATATAGATACTACATGTGGACCTTTCCCAGATTTGTTCATTTCGTGATGATATCTTAAATTCTCTAATTTTGGTGAATATTTTTGTCATTTTTGGTAAAAAGTGATATTTTCGACTTCTTGTTAAAAACCAAAAGTCCAATTGCTTTGATATTACATATATATAGATACTACATGTGGACCTTTATCAGATTTGTTCATTTCGTGATGATATCTTAAATTCTCTAATTTTGGTGAATATTTTTGTCATTTTTAGTAAAAAGTGATATTTTCAACTTCTTGTTGAAAACCGCAAGTCCATGCTTTTATATTACATATATAGGTACTACATGTGGACCTCTCTCAGATTTGTTCATTTTGTGATAATATCTTTAATTTCCTAATTTTGGTGAATATTTTTGTCATTTTTGGTAAAAAGTGATATTTTCGACTTCTTGTTAAAAACCGCAAGTCCACTTGCTTTGATATTACATAAATAGGTACTACATGTGGACCTCTCTCAGATTTGTTCATTTTGTAATGATATCTTCAATTCTCTTAGTTTGGTGAATATTTTTGTAATTTTTGGTAAAAAGTGATATTTTCGACTTCTTGTTGAAAACAGCAAGTCCAATTGCTTTGATATTACATATATAGGTACTACATGTGGTCCTAACTCAGACTTGTTCATTTCATGTTGATATCTTTAATTCTCTTATTTTAGCGAATATTTTTGTAATTTTTGGTAAAAAGTGATGTTTTCAACTTCTTGTTAAAAACCTC